AAAATAGACAAAGACAACCAAGGTAGACAGAAAGCAACAAAAGAACAGACACGGGTAACAAAAGACAGACACACGGGTAGACAAAAGACAACAAAGGGTAGACAAAAGAAAACACACAGGTAGACAGAAAGCAAACAAAAGGAGAAGAACACAGGTAACAAAAAACAGACACCAGGTAGACAGAAAAAAAACAAAACACACAGAGATACAAAGACAAAGACGAAAACCAGCTTAAGAACCACCCCGGGTGTTTTTGGGGTCCCGAATCCCCGAGCCCTGAGAACGGTACCACCCTGAAAGCAATTACCAAATTAAGCGGGAAAAAAAGTCTAATAATAAGTGGGGTTGGGGGGGCAACGCGGGGGGAAGTATGGGGTCAACACTCCTGAAGCTAACAAATTAAATTTTACAATAATTATTGGGGTTTTTTAAGAGAAGGAAATGTAGAATCCTGTGGCAGTTTTAAATTTTTACAAACCTATTTTTGGTTATAATAGAAGGGGAAACAAACACCAAAAACAACAACCCAAACAAAAAACAAAAAAGGGACACCACACACACACCCCCCCCCCAAAACACATCAAAACACACACACCACACACACAACCCACACAACCACACACCACACACAAACATACCAAAACACACATACACAACACATCAAACCCCACCATCAACCCCCTTTCCCCCCCCCAAAACACAAAACCCACCTCCCCCAAAAACCCCTTTTAACCTTTTTTTCCCCCCCCCTTTTCCACTAAATTTTTCACCCCCCCCCTTTAACTTTCCCCCTTTTTAACCTTTTTCCCCCCTTTTTCCCCCCCCCCTTTTCCCCCAAAATTTTTCCCTCTCTCCCCCCCTCCTTCTCCCCCCTCTCCATCTCCCCCCCTTTCCTTCCCCTTTCCCCCCATTTTTTTCCCTTTTTCTCCCCCCCTCCTCCTCCCCCCTCCCTTTTCCCCCCCCCCTTTCTTCCCCCTTTCCCCATTTCCTTTCCTTTTCCTCCCCCCTCCCTCCCCCCTCCCTCCCTCCCCCCTCTTTCCCCCTTTTCCTCCCTTTCTCCCTTTCTTCCTCCTCCCCCCTCCTCCCCTTCCTTCCCTCTCTTCTCCCTCTCTTTTCCCCTTCTCTCTCTCTTCTCTCTCTCTTTTTCCTCTTTTGCCCCTCTCTCTTTTCCTCTCTCTCTCTTTGCTCTCTCCCCTTCTTCTTCTTCTCTCTCTCTTGCTCTCTCTTTTCTTGCCTCCCCTCTTGTCTCTCTCTTGCTCTCTCTCTCTCTTTCTTCTCTCTTTTGCTCTCTCTCCCTTGCTCTCTCTCTCTCTTCCCTCTCCTCTCTCTTGCCCCTCTCTCTTGCCCCTCTCCCCTTTGCTCTCTCTCTCTCTTTCTCCCTCCCCTCTTGCTCTCTCCCCTTTTTCCCCTTCTTCTCTCTCTCTCTCCTCTTGCTCTCTCTCTTTTTTTCTCTCTCTTCTCTTTGCTTCTCTCCTTCTCTCTCCTCTCTTGCTCTTCTCTCTCCTCTCTCTTTTCTCTCCTCTCTTTTTCCCCTCTCTTGTCCCCCTCTCTCTCTTGTTTCCCTCTCCGCCCTCTCTCTCTCTCTCTCCCCTTGTTCTCTCTTTGCTCTCTCTCTCTTCTTCTCTCTCTCTTGCTCTTCTCTCTCCTCTTCTTTTCTCTCCTCTCTCTTTCTCTCTCTCTCTCTTGCTCTCCTCTCCCTTTTTGCTCTCTCTCTCTTTTTTCTCCTCTTCTTGCTCTCTCTCCTCTCGTCTCTCCGCTCCTCTCTCTCTTTTGCCTCCTCTTCTCCTCTCTCTTGCTCTCTCTTTTGCCTCTCTCTCTTTCCCTTCTCTTGCCTCCTCTCTTCTTTTCTCTCTCCTTGCCCCTTCTCTCTTTTCCCCCTCTTGCTCTCTCTTTTTCCCTTTCTTCTCTCTCTTTTTTGCTCTCTCTTCTTTTGCTCTCTTCCTCTTGCTCTCTCTCTCTCTTGCTCTCTCTCGCTCTCTTGCTCTCTCTCCTTGCTCTCTCTCCCTCTTGCTCTCTCCCCCTCTTCTTGCTCTCCTTTTGCTCTCTCTCTCTTGCTCCCCCTCTTTGCTCCTCTCTTGCTCTCTCTCTCCTTGCTCTTCCCCCTCTTGCTCTTCCCCTCTCTTGCTCTCTCTCTTCTCTCTTCTCTCTTGCTCTCTCTTTTGCTCCCTCTTCTCTTTTTTCTCTCTCTTGCTCTCTCTCTCTCCCCTTTGCTCTCTCTCTGCTCTCTCTCTCTCCTGCTCTTTTTTTCTCTTGCTCTCTCCCTCTTGCTTCTCTCTCTCTTGCTCTCCCCTCGCCCCCTTTTTCCCTTCTAACTCCCCCCCTTCCACCTAAAAAAAAAAAAAAAAAAAAAAAAAAAAAAAAAAAAAAAAAAAAAAAGGGTGGGGGACTGCAGGACCCAAGGATCAGATGAAATGGTTGGGTAGGGAGGGGATGGGGGAGCATGGAAAAGGAGGGAACAAGGTGGAGAGAAAATTAGGAGAGTTTCTGAAAAAATGGAAAAGAGTCTCTGTGAAATTGGAAAGGGGGTTTGGAGAAGGAGACAAAAAATTGGGGGGCAAAATTGGGAAACGCAGTCCCAAAGAAAAGGGGTCCTAAAGTTAGAAAAATAGGCTGGAGCGAGTTCGGGGCAGTGCCCAAGAAGAACAGCATATGAAGCTGCGAGGCTGAACAGGGAAAGGGAAAGGAATTATGAATTTGCTAAGGCCCAAAAATCTGCCAAGGAGGACCCAAAGGGGTGAAAGGGGGAAAACAAATGGTTGCAGATGGAGAGGGGGATAGGGCGAATTGAGGGACAAAAGGCTATCAAGAGCCACTGGAAAAAATCAAGGGAAAACTGACCCACACAGGGAGGATCCAGACCACAGAGGGTGAGGGAAAATGAGGAAGAAAGGGAAAATCATTGTTTACCAGGGCTTCAGGAAGAGAGGAAAGGGCACACACTGAAAGGAAGCAGGAAGAAAGGAAGGAGATTAGAAAATCATAACAGAAATAGGTGAAGAGAGGGACGAGATTGTAAAATTTTTAGAGAATAGGGGGGGGACTTTGAAAGGTGAGAAACCACCCTCAAGCTGTTTTCCCGGACGGAAACATGCGGAACAGGAAACCTCCAAAAGAAAACCCCATTGAAAAAATCGGGAAAGAAAAAGAGGGTGTTCCTAGACAAGACAGAAAAAAATCGAACACGCAGCTGAGGGAGAGGACCAAAAAAAACGAAAGGGTAGAAAAGAGACAAGGAGGGAAACCGCAGAGTCACAGAGCAGGGCAGAACAGCAAGGGCAAGCACACACACAACTACTCTCAGAACCCCACAACCTATCACCCCCATCCCCAAAACACCCTCAATCCCTACCCAGCCTCCCCCCAACACAAACTATAGAACCCCACAGAGCCACCAGGGCTCCCCCCTCACGGCCCCCCAAACCACAGGTTGGAAAGGAAATGAAGGTATGGTACCAAACGTGAGGAATAACAATAAGTGGGAGGGGTGGCAAGAAAAGTCAAAGAAGCTCACCGGACATCTAGCTCTCACAGAAACCACTTACAGGTAGATAACAGAGCATCTTTCCCAAAGGGTACCAAAACCCTGAGGAAAGACAGGGAAAGGGGGGGGGGAGGAGTGGCGTTGCTGTCAAAAATCGCTGGAATTTTTATGGCTGGAGAGAGAAATACGGAGAAAAAAGTATTCATAGGGGGAACACTTCACTCTGGAGGTCCCCAAAGGGGTAATAGCAGTGAAATTTAACCCACCACAGAACACAGGAGGCCCAAAGGGAAAAGGGACGACGAGAGCAAAAAAGGGGATGGTTACACACTGGCTAGAGTGGCCAAAAAGTCATGCATGCAGGGCAAAGCCCTGAACTGGGTGATTTAACCACAAGAGATAGATTGGAGAACTTGGACCCACAGGGGGCCAAAATACTTGGAGGGCTAAATATGGGGGTGGTATGAGAACTCATGTACCAAACGTAAGGACACTACAAGAGAGAGAGGAGAGGATGAACCAGCAAGGGGGGACTTTGTATTCACCTTTCCCGTAGTGCAGATATCGAGGACATCCCCATATGAAAGACCCCTGGGGGCCCGTGACCATGTGGTTGTAACTTCAATACACAGTAGAGCTACAAGTGAGGGGGAAAACAGGAAGGGGAGGCGAATGAACCAAACTCAAAAAAGGGGACACACAGAATGGGAATACCCGAACGGGGGCATGGGACAAGAACTGGGAGGGAAAACCCGTTAAGAATAGGAAATTAGCAATAAAAGCAAAGGGGGCGAGGAGAGGTTTGACCCAAGGGGAACAGGATAATGAAAAAACCGGATGAGCCATGTTTACCCAAAGGGGCAGGGGGCAAAAACCAAGTGTGCTGGGAAGGGAAAAAATATAGAAGGCAAAGGACCCCGGGGAATAAGGAAACAGTCCCCTAGAGCCAAAATAATATGCACAGAAAGAAGGGAGGGCCCAAAAACAAAA